AGGGACATGCTTATTGCTAAAAACAGGGAAATAACAAATTGCAAACATTTCACCCAAGCTGTGGAGCTGGCAACTATAAAAAACACTACCATATTTAAATAATTTCAAAAGCAAGGCCTGAATGCTGAAAATAGGTTACCTTCCTATTCTTAATGTTTGCACATTGAACAGACTTAAAGTGCTACAAGGAAAAGTATTAATTCCAAGATGACACAAACTTTCACTATAATTAAACAAGGTTACAGAAAATAGTATTTCTCCTTTGTAGCATCTTGGTTTTAACAGTTTGACAATGACTCTCTCAGCAGACTTTAGGCCATAATATCACAACCACTGCAAACCGCCTCCCTTAGAACTTACCAGGAAGCACCAAAGAACTTCTTAGATATCAAACTGAATTTGAAGTCTAAAGTTTCCATGGGCAGCCCTGTGCTCCTTTGTTAACAGTCCTTAAAAAATAACAACCACCCAGCACATAATTAAATATATTTTCCGTTTTCAGTTAAGGCAAATCAGTCCCACCCAAAATTACTGGTTTCTTCATGCTGCAGTAAATTAATGACTATTAATGGCGCAATGGGAGCTACAAACAGATTGTTACTTCCTTGAGGTCAGTTCTGAATGCAGCTCAAAACAATCTGGGTTCATTTTGCATTGTTCTCAAAACGGACGCATTGAAGGGAAAATCATAAACGCTGGGTCCTGATATGTGTAGATAATTATTCATGTGGTCTGTGCACAAAAAAAGGAAAGTGTGACGTGAGAGGCTCAACAGAATCGCTGTTTTCACTCTGTTTACCACGAGGAAGAGACGGCTGGTGAATAATACAGCTCATATCTCTTAGTTACCAGGAAAAGGTGCCAGAACAGGAGAAGGATTTAAGTCCAGCAACTTCATGAACACAGGAACAAGCTGGCACACACAGGGATGAAGGGTGGGCAGAAAATGGATGTACTAAAACTTAATAACCTGTTGGATATTGGAAGCAGCAGGGACTGGCGTAGGTGGGAGTCTGGCAGACAAGATGTACCTGTGAGATACGAAGGGAGGGTCAGGAGGAAAAGCTGCCCATCAGCTTTGGATACTGATGGATGCGATGGCTCGGATAGGGAAGGTGAGGGGCAAGTGTTGGGCACGGGAGACGCTGCCAGGGAACCAGGGAATGCCATTTGCATGTGCTGGGGTGCAAACAGTGAACACATTTTCCTTTTTTTTTTTTTACGCTGCAAAATAACAAAGGCTTGAGGAAAAAGGTGCTTTATTGGATAACACACCTCAGTCCGACACTCAGCTGCTAATGACGGGAAAAAATGACCTTGCAACTGGTGTGATAATGTACTGCGTTTGCTGCACGGCTCGACCACCACGCACAGCCCGGCAGAAAGGCAGAAGGAGCGGGACCCGCGGCCAAACCTCCGGCTTCGGCTCTGCCAACCTGCAGCCCTCGCTCCGCTCGCGGGGCACAACCGCGGCGCGCTCGGGGGGAGCGCGGCAGCCCCGCGGGCTCAGCCCCGCACGGCGCAGCGCGCAGGGACGGGGTTAAAACTCGCCCCTCGGGGCTCCCCCGGCTCTGTCACCGCATTCCTGCCCCGTGCCCGATGTGCGGGCGAGAAGCGGCCCCGCGGGGCTCGCCCGGGGTGAGGCGGCGGCAGCCCGGCCTGTCCGGGCGGGCCCGGCGCGTCCCCGCCCGCGGCACCGCCGTGCGCGCACAGGGGGCGCTGTTGGCGCGGGGACGCGGCGGAGCGAACCCGCCGGGAGCGCGCGCGCGCGCGGCCGTTGGCGCGGGGACGGGGACGGATGGGACGGGGACGGGAACGGGGAGGACGGGGACAAGGATGGGAACGGGGATAGGGACGGGGACGGGGATCGGGTGCCGCGGGGGTGCCCTCAGCGGGCGCGGGACAGCGTCGCTCCCGCCTCGGCGCGAGCGCGCGCGCGGCCCCTGCGCGCGCACCCGCCGCCCAATGAGCGGCCCGGCCATTGATGGGGGGGAGCAATGGAGGGACAGAGGAGGGGGGGGAACAGGTCCCGCGGTGCCGGCGGGGATGGAAGGGGGTGTTGTGTTTGTGTCCCCGCTCCTGCGGCCGTGGAACCTGCACTGAAATGCCGCCCACTCCCCCCCCCCCCCCCCCCCACTCCTAACCACAGTAACCCTCCCCCCGCCCAGTCCCGACACGCACAGATGCACACACGGACAGATACACACACAGATACACACAGAGATACACACACAGAGCCCCCGATCCAGAGCCTTTCCCCCGACACGCACACCCCGCCATCACCCCAGACTGGAGGTGTAGGTCAGGGGAAGGTGGGACGAGGCGCTGTGGGCGGGAGAGCCGTGCACAGGGGAGCCGGGAGGTGATCCAGCAGCGCCGCTGCCGGTTCGGAGGGAGGTGCGGGGGAGCCGGGACGCGGGGCGGGGATGGCGGGGGGCG